AATGTGTTTACATAATTCTCAGTCCAGAAATCCGTGCTTACATAAGCATTTAAACATAACTACAAAAGGGAGGCAATCTTCTATTAACCAATGTGAACAGACATTGATTGCGCATTCCTTGTCTTCTTGGCTTACATTTTTCATAACCACTTTCTCTTCAGAAGCGTTAGCGAAGCACTTGTGACACATCAAATTACTTGTTTGCTTGCTATTAAACTTCAATAAATGCATGCATTTTCGGTAGTAAACAAACCCTTCCAATGTATTTCCATAATTTTTTTTTTTAATTTCAGCAAACACGTTCCAAACTGCCCTTTTACCTCGTTTCTGCGTTAATTGATAACCATTATCAATAATCTGTATTATTCCTTCTTGATCAGTCATACATTTTTTTATAATTAATTATAGGGCCCTGCACCCAATGGTATGTTTTACGTACAAAAAATAAAAAGTATATAGACGCGAAATTTGTGTACGTACTGTTAAGGAAAAAATTATTTATTCCTTAATTCATGAGTTTTATGGCACTTTTAAGTTAATTTATTTATAAAATAAGAAAGGACCTCACTTGCATATTAAAGCCAACAATGGCAACAAGATTAAAAATTCTTTGGAAAAAAGTGTACATACAGCCACAAAAACTTAGTATTCGTATAAGGAAATTATGAATAAAATGATAATATGTTATCTTTTAGTATTTGGTCGGTCCACCTTGGGCATCAATGACACCTTGAAAACGAAGAGGTATTGATGCCATTAAATTCTCTGTTATATTGGGTGTTATTTTGGCTAAGCACGAATAAGGGCGGTTTTTAATGTTTCGCGGCTACTAATGGCAAATTTTTGTATTGATATTTTCAAAACGTCCGAAATGTGTTCTATTGGGTTTAAATCTGGTGACTGGGGTAGTGAGTTCAGCTGCCTTGGAGCATAGTATAGAAGCCAGTCTCGAACAACGTACGCAGTATCCTTCGGGTCGTTACCTTGTTGGAAAATCCATTGATTTCACAAACCCAAGTTATCAACAGATGGCTTCAGATATTGTTTCAATATGATTTTATATTAATAAAGTTCCATATTATCCTCGACAAAAACCAAACGACCCACTCCAGACGACGCAATGGCACTCATAACTCCACCGCCACCACGTTTAACTGAGGGTATAACCTTTTGAACGTCCATCACTTCCGAAAATATTATACTTACTTTCGTCAGTAAATAAAACACGTTTCCGAAAGTGTATTTCCTTCTTTAGATGGGCTTTAGAAAACTCAAGGCGAAGATTACGATTCTTGGCTGAAATTAGTGGTTTTCTTCGTGCTACTAAGCTATAAAATCTACTGTCATGTAGATCATTTCTTATTGTTCGAGGGGTAACAGTTAAATTGGAACATTGTTCGATGTGTTCCGCTAATTTTGGGGGACTTTTGTTTTTGGATCCTGGTTGACTACTTAGTAATACTACTAACTTCGCGGTTTGAAAGTTTCTTAGGTCTACCAGTTCCGGGCTTATTTTCGGTACTATTGATATTATTATAATTTCTATTGATCGTTTGTACAGTAGCACGACTTAGTTTCACGGTCTTAGCAATTTCTCCATAAGATTTGTTTTCTTAACCACAACATTTCTAACTAAAACGTGTATATATTTTCGATTATCCATTTTCATTGACAAAATAAAAGAAACTCCACAATAATTATCGCTTTGTCCACTTAAATAATTGCATTGCTTGTAATTTAAAATATGGAGATCAATGATAACTATTAATAGGTTTTCTTTCCTCTTAATTCTCTGTTCGATGTTGTTATGTAGATTTTTTCCCACTTGTTATTATGCTTTTCCTTATTAACTTATATTTTATATTTTTATAACCAGGGTAAGGACATAGG